GCACCGTGTCTCTGTACCTTGGACTTTTACAGCTCCTCTGATTTTCCTTCTGGTTTTCTCTTTCCTTCTAGTTGTAGAATTTCCAGTCAGTCAACTTTCCTGTAGTTCGGGATAATGTCCATTTTGTATTTTAGTTGTATTTGTTTTGAAATTGTTGTGTGAGGCTGTGGTTAGGTGTTCACCTATGCCGCCATCTTGGTTCCTCCAGTTTTCTTTTCTTTCTGTCCCTTCCAATATATTCTTGATGTCAGATATGTTATTCTTCATCTCCAACAGATTCTTATTTATGGTTTCTTTCTTGTTTCATGCTGTTGTAGTTCCGCCTAAGTCTAAGTAGCCTTATAACCATTGCTTTTAACTCTACATATATCTGATAAATTGCTTCCTTCCATTTTGTTTAGCCCTCTTTCTGGGTTTATCTCCTTTTTTTAAAAAATTTGGGGTTGTTAATTGTCTCCCCAGTTTTGCTGCCCCTTTTGTATTTGTATATGTGTATTATATCAAACTTCTATGCCTCCCAGTCTTCATGGGCTGGCTTTAATTAGTAAGTGTTTTGTGGGCCTCAATGGCATAGTCTTTTAGATCTGATTTGGTTATTCTAGGAATGTCCCTTGTGTGAATTATTTGGACTCTCCTGTTCTAATTGGGTCTTGAATGTTATTGTCCTGCTTGTGCGAGACATCTCCTCTCAGGCTGGCTGACTATTATGCTCATCCCAACTACATTGCATGAACTGTTGTGTAGGTGCTGCTAGGACAAAACAAAACACACACACACACACACAAAACAACAACAACAACAAGAAAAAACAACAAGAAACAAAATGAAAACATATACCAGACCCTTACAACCACAAAGGAAGAATGAATTACTAAGAACAAAAGGGAGCCATAATAGAAGAAAAGAAAAAAAATACAAGAAGAAAAAAAAGGGAGAAAAGGTGATATAAAAGAATAGAGATACAAGAAATAAGAATAAGGAAAAGGGAAATGTTATAAAAGAAAAGAGGAAAAATAATTGTGCAAAGAAAAATAGAGGAAATAGAAGATAGATAAAAATAAGAAAAGAAATAAAGAGAAAGCTGGAAAAAGAAGAAAAATCGGTAAGAAAAGGGGAGGGAAAATTAGATCTATGAAAGAAAAAAGAGAGACTAGAAGAATAACAAACAAATAAAGAAGAAAAATGAAAATGATCAAAAGAAAGTAAGGTGGCGTTGTTCTTTTTTCTTCTTTCTAATTCTCTCTTCCTTTGTGGATGCTTTTGTGGTTGTAAGTTCTGGTGTATGTTTTTGTTTTGTTTCTTGTTTTTTTTTGTGTGTTTTATTTTTTCCAGCAGCACCTGCAAAGCAGCTCACACAGTGTGGTTGGGAGTTTAGTGCCTCCTGGGAGTTCTCTTTGGATCCTGTTCTTCTGATGACTGAGGCTGACTCTCTTGTTTGACAATTCTGGACTCCCCGGGAGGTACTTATGTACTAAGCACTGTCAGGAACTGTCCTTCTTTGGTTATCAGCAACCTGTTTGAAAAAAATAGCTTGGGTGGCATTGCTCAGTGGTTGATGAACCAGGAAGTCATGGTTCAATTTCTGGGTAGGGCACATCCCCAGGTTGTGGGCTCAATCCCTAGTGTTGGTGGGGGGGGGGTAGGGGGGGGGGGGTAGGGGGGTGGGATGCAAGAGACAGTTGATTATTTCTCATCAGTGATGTTTCTATCTCTTTCTTTCTCTCTCTCTTCCTCTCTGAAATAAATGCAAACATATTTTTAAAATAGGATGACAGCTTAAGGGAGTTGTGGGACATGAACTGTAACAATATTCACATTATAGTTGTGCTAGAAGGTGAAGAAAGTGAGCAAGGAATAGAAAATCTGTTTGAAGAAATAAAGGCAGAAAACTCCCCTAACCTGGTGAAGGAAAGTCACACAAGCTCAGGAGGCACAGAAAGTCCCACACAAGAAGAACCCAAATGTACCAGGCCCAGACACATCATAATTAACCATTTAACTGCCACATGTCCAAAACGAAAACCATCCTCATTTCTTCCCTTTGTGCTGGAATATTTATAAATTTAAGTTCCCATAATTTTCTGTACAAACTCAGAGATGTCACTAACAAGTATTATTTTAAAATTGGGTGGCCAGAGTTGATATGTGAAGTTTGTGGCTACAGATGCATGTGGCATGTTGGGGAGGTCCATCTAATCCATCTATAGATGCTTATAGTGTACAAAGGGTTAAAATGATAAAAATTAAAGAAAACTAGAGAAACTTAAAGGCAGCAAGAGAAAAGCAATTTTTTACATACAAAGGCACTCCCATAAGGTTGTCAGCTGATTTCTCATCAGAAACTCTACAGACCGGAGGGAAGGCATGAAGTATTCAAGGTAATGAAAAGCGAGGATCTGAAACCAAGATTACTATATCCAGAAAGACTATCATTCAAAATAGATATCAAAATAAAGTGCTTCCCAGACAAAGAAAGGCTAAAGGAGTTTATCATTACAAAACAATCACTGCAAGAAATGCTAAAGGGATTGCTATAATGAGAATAAGAAATAAGAGAGACACAGGCATAAGAAATTAAAATGGCAATAAATAAACACCTCTCAATAATAACCTTAAATGTAAATGGATTAAATGCTCTAATAAAAAGATCTAAGGTAGCTTAATGGATACAAAAACATGACCCAAGTATATGCTGCCTACAAATGACCCGCCTCTAAACAAAAGATTCACACAGATTGAAAGAGAAGGGACAGAAAATTTTTTTCTATGCAAATGTAAACAATATAAAGTTGGGGTAGCAATACTCATATCTGACAAAATAGACTTCAAAATGAAGTTTATTACAAGAGACAATAAAGGTTAGTATAGAATACTAAAGGGATCAGTCCAAAAATAAATATAACCCTGGTAAACATATGCATCCAATATAGGAGCAGCTTACCCATGAGCCTGTCTCCTAAGGCCCCCTTTTATCTGACATTCACTGAGCTAACAGCAGCCCCCCTGGGCTCACTTCTTTCCTAGAACTCTTACAGAGAGCCAAGCAGCCCTTCTCGGGCTCTCCTGTTACTTCTCCTTCTCCTTCTCCTTCTCCTTCTCCTTCTCCTTCTCCTTCTCCTTCTCCTTCTCCTTCTCCTTCTCCTTCTCCTTCTCCTTCTCCTTCTCCTTCTCCTTCTCCTTCTCCTTCTCCTTCTCCTTCTCCTTCTCCTTCTCCTTCTCCTTCTCCTTCTCCTTCTCCTTCTCCTTCTCCTTCTCCTCCTCCTCCTTCTCCTCCTCCTCCTCCTCCTCCTCCTCCTCCTCCTCCTCCTCCTCCTCCTCCTCCTCCTCCTCCTCCTCCTTCTTTAAATACGTTTATTGATTTTTTTTTTTTTTTTTTTTTTTTTTTTTTTTTTTTTTTTTTTTTTTTTTTTACAGAGAGGAAGGGAGAGAGGGAGAGAGTTAGAAACATAAATGAGAGAGAAACATCAATCAGCTGCCTCCTTCATACCCCCTCCTGGGGATGTGCCCACAATCAAGGTACATGCCCTTGAACGGAATTGAACCTGTGACACTTGAGTCTGCAGACTGAAGCTCTATCCACTGAGCAAAATCAGTTAGGGCTCCTGTTACTTCTTCCACCTACAGCCCTTCAGCCCTTCATTTGTTGCATTGTCTCAGCTTTAATAATCATACTCTCAAAATTAAAAATTAAAAAAGTTATCTGTAACAAAGTTTGTCCAAGCAAATGTTCATCAACTAGTGAATAGATAAATAAATGTGGTATAGCCATACAATGTAATACTATTCAGTATAAAAAAAGAATGAAATATTGAGATCTACTATAACCTGGATAAATCTCAAACATTATGTAAATAAAAGAATGAAGTTACAAAATCATTCTACTTATAGAAAATATATAGAAATATCAACTCTATAGAGGCAGTAGGCATATTAATGGACCTGTGGAATGGATATAGTATAGTGATTAATGGTAAATAAGCATTTGGGGTCTTTTTCAAATAAGAAATATTCTAAGGTTGGCCCATGGTACTGATTGCACAATTTTATAAATTTATTAAAATGATAAATGAAATAAATTAATTAAAATTTTAATTTAATAATAGTGTGAAGGTCTAGGACATTGCTGACCATTATGACTGACTTTATAAACATTGTCCAACAAGCCCTCCTCCTGCTTCCATCCAACAGGTTAATGAAAACTGGTAACTAGAGTATATTAATAACTCAATAGAGCTATTTTTAAAAAGTAGAGAGAGGATTTTACAATATAGATATGATGCAAACTAAAATACGACATAATTTTTATTATTCAGAGATTTTAAGAAAGTATAATTTATTTGACCCTAATAATTATATTTTATCCTGCACTGATTTAGTGAAATAAAATTATATTTCTCTTTCTGTGGCTGCATATAAATTACTTGGTTCTACAACAAATTACACACACAGTAAATAAGCTTATAAATTTTTAGAATCAGTATGAAATATGAAATCAGCTTAAAATATGAAAATTTAATAGAATGCCTTTGTTTTTCCCCCCTCATTTTGATCTTTGTGGGAATTTGCCTTTCTTTTATCTGTGAGACACTTAAAGCTTAGTGTCCCAGGGAACTTATTTAATATCCAGTTTAAGTAAGGAGCTCAGTTTCCTCATTGGGAATAAAATTGTGATAATATTAGCTAACTTAAAGAGTGCTTGGAATATTCAAAATAATGTTTGTTAAGCTACATTCACATAATAGATGTGTGAGTAGTAGTAATTCATTAAAAATCTGGTTGTGACTTCATGAAATTTATCTTGGATTTTATTTTGAGGCTTCATCCCTCCCTATCCCTGGCCCAGTCTGTGAAAGTAACTGTGGTTCAGAAAAGAACTCAAAATGGCAAGTCTGTCCATTGGAGGACAAACCAGTTTTTCTGGTTTTCTTGTCTACGCTTTAATGTCAAAGTCTGGACAGGAATAGGTTGTGGTTAACACCATGGGGAGCCCCAATACTCACATGTGTTATCGCAGTCCACATAGATGTTTTCAAAGTTTTGGCTACACATTCTTTTTATTTCATAGTCATCAAGGAATCTGCGGACACTTATTGCAAAGTTGTAACTTGGAAGCATCACTAACACATGAGTTATGAAGACTAGAATACTATTGTCACCTGTAATTTTTGGGTGGTGGGCACACAATGTAATATACAGATCATATATCATAGAAAAGTACACTTGAAACCTATATAGCCTTATTAGTCACTGTCACAACAATTAATTTAATTAAAATTTAAATAAAAAGATGGTAGATTAACTTTAATTATAAAAAAGTAATGAAACTCCCATAATAAACTTCCTCAAGATAACCAAAGAATTTTCAGATAATTACCAATCTAGCAGATGATCCCTGAGAAAACACTCATTAAGTCACTAAGCTTGTTTACCTTGATAACTTATAACATGGATTTATCAATTATAGAGTTAAAGAGAAGGGCACTTACCATGAAGGGAGTGTGCAGAAATAGAGTGTGAGATCAATTGGCTGGAAGTAGTGAGGAGAAACTGGCAGGGTGGGGAATAGATCACCATAATAGTAATAGTCAGGAGGGAGTGAAGGGGCCCTGAAGACCAACCAGTAAGAATATGAAATCAAAATGGAGAGAGAAAGGACTTTGGGGATTGTCATGGCACTATGGTTTTGGCTGTTGCCTGTTGGAGAAGTGGTCAGATTAAGAAACTATAGTATCCATTAAAAAATGGTGTTTAAAATGGAGAGGTATAGAACTCAGGACTCAATATTTTGATATTGGAATTTTGTTTTTTGTTCCATTGACCCTATCTAGCATTGAATTTATTAAAGAAATAATAAATTCAACTGCTTTACATCAGTACAACCTGAAAATATTTAAATATTTCAAAGTACAGGGATGGGCTGGCTCCAAATTGCCACAGAAACCTTTTACTGAAATGTCTATGACATTTAGAACTAGCTGAGGTAGTTCCTGTGCACCTTATACAAGCTCTTATGTCCTCAACGAAGAATCCTATATAATAAAAGCCTATACAATATGCTAAGTGTCCAGCCGTCAGTTCAACCAATCAAGTATAATATGCTAATGATAAGCTAAGGTTACTCAACCACTTGCTATGACATGCACTGACCACCAGGGGGCAGACACAGTTGACTGGTTAACCAGTTGCTATGATGTGCACTGACTACCAGGAGCAGATACTCTGACCAATATGTTAGCTTGCTGCTGGGGTCCAGCCTATTCGAACTAAGCAAGATGGGCTAGACACCCCCTGGAGCCCTCCCCAGCTCTGATCATGAACCAGTGGGGTCCCTCAGCCTAGCCTGCACCCTCTTGTAATCCAGGATCCCTCAGGGGATGTCAGAAAGCCGGTTTCTGCCCAGTCCCCCAGGCCAGGCCGAGGGACTCCACCGGTGCACGAACTTGTGCACCGGGCCTCTAGTTTATAATAATGTGCCCTGAAGACCATCAAGCCAGAGCTAGGAGGGTTGCAGCATCTTCTAAAAATTAGTGTTGGGGGGACAGGCTCCTCTGTGCTGAAACAGGTCCGTGGTTGACTGATTGGAAAGTAAGTTGTATACTCAAAATTAAGGTGCTGTGAGTGAGAGGGAACCTATTGCCAAGTCCCATAGATATTGCTGCAATCAGAGAAAATAATTCCTCCCATCCTTCCATTTCTTATAGGAAATTCAGCTCCATTATAATCTACCAGAGGCCCGGTGCACGAAATTCGTGCATGGGTAGGGTCTCTAGGCCTGGCTGGCGATCAGGGCTGATCTGTGGGGCAATCAGAGGGCCCCTGCTAGTACCGTCTTGGCTGGCCTGCGGGCTGGGGGCAGCTCCTGTGTTGAGCATCTGCCCCTGGTGGTCAGTGTGCATCATATCAACCAGTCATTCTGCTGTTTGGTTGATTTGAATGTTAGGCATTTATTATATAGGATGAGACCACTGCTTGTATATGTGGTCTGTCATTTACTGAAACATCATATATGGCATATAACTGTAACAGGACAGAACATGGGTAGACACTATAGATAGCAAAAAGGTGAATGACAATACCACCACTGATTCAGGGAATGAGCATGAATGCATAACTCCTGCTTGGCTTATTATGCAGGGGCTCAAGTCTTCCTCACCAGGCATAATATCACTTCTTGGAGAAGAGTGAAAAAGCATGTGCTTGGTCCACACCCTCTGTTTCCTTTTGTGTAAGGCCAACACCTAAAGTTAGGGAATGAGTCTGGAAACTCTTTTGGTAAAGTTCTACCACTTCAGGCAGAGCTGAAATGATCAATACAGTTCAAAGTTCATGTTTATACAGAAATTTAACCAAGGAATGTTCTCTAAAACCAAACAAATCCTAATTGTGATAATCACCAGCAGTCACACTCTCTTCAAATTTTATATTCAGAGAAGGAAGACAGGGAGAACCTACTCCTAGAATCTTGCCAAAATCAGGTCTCAAAAGAAGATAAATTGGCTTAATGATAACTATATTTGTTGCATATTTCATTGTTTTCTTCAGAAAAAAATCTCGTTGAAGGGTCAAGATGATGTGCTGCATTAAATTAGGCAGAAGTCAGCCTATAGGACCTCCAACCTGCCATCTCCCTACATTGCTTCAAAGTGAGTGCTGTTAAGATGTTAGAACTGAAGGACTAAGTCTGGAGGGGGGGCATTTCAAATGAGATAAATGGGTTGCACACTTATAGTGTAGTTTTTTACTCTTCTTTTTCTTTAACCAAGCCCTGCTCCTTCAGATGGTCTAGTGCTTCTCTTTCTTTCTTTCTTTCTTTCTTTCTTTCTTTCTTTCTTTCTTTCTTTCTTTCTTTCTTTCTTTCTCTCTCTCTCTCTCTCTCTCTCTCTCTCTCTCTCTCTCTCTCTCTCTTTCTTTCTTTTTAAAAAAATATATTTTATTAATTTTTTACAGAGAGGAAGAGAGAGGGATAGAGAGCTAGAAACATCGATGTGAGAGAAACATCGACCAGCTGCCTCTTGCACACCCCCTACTGGGGGTGTGCCTGCAACCAAGGTACATGCCCCTGACTGGAATTGAACCCAGGACCTTTCAGTCTGCAAGCTGACGCTCTATCCACTGAGCCAAACCAGTTTCGGCATTCTCTCTCTTTCTTCCTTTCTCTTCCCCATTTCCTTTCTCTCCCTCTCTCCTTCAACTTCTATTTTTCACATATTCAATAAATATTTGCTGCTTTCCAAAAAGCATAGTTTTTCAAATTCCTGGAAAGTAAGCGCTTAACTATTATTATTTTATTCTCTAGCTCCTTCATCCTCATTTACTTAATGTATTTCCTGGAGAAAAGGGAAATGGTGGAAAGTCCTTACCAAAGGCTTCCATTATGACATCCGTGATGATGCTGAATATAATTGAAAAGTAGTTAAAGAGGGTGAGCTTGATGTAGGCAGCAGTACTACTAGTAAACAAGAAGCTTCCCAGGTACATGAGAGGAACAGAAGCCCAACCGTATAGCATGAAGATCATCAATATGTCCAGAAAGTTGTAGTTTTCCACAAACCCAGCCAGATTGCAGTATTTGCACACTCCCTGGGAAAATGCAGAGTAAGGGTAGGTGAAGGACAGTGCAACAAGCCAGACACTGAGGAGACAGCAAGCACTGCATTGTTAGAACACACAGCTACTCACTACTCAAATCAGCATACCAGTAAAAAAAGCCTTAGCTTCACCCAGCCTGTGTGGCTCAGTGGTTGAGCGTCAACCCATGAACCAGGAGGTCACGGTTTGATTCCTGGTCAGGGCATATGCTATAGTCAGGTAAGGAATGACTAAACATGATAAAAGTGTAAATTCTCTCCAAATTACTCTAAATAGAAATAAAAACAGGTATTTTTTTTAAATTTGATAAGCTAATTTTAAACATTACATGTAAAAACACAAAACATGTCAAGATAGTCAAGAAATTCTACAGAAGATTAATGGGAAAGGTAAGGAAGGTCAATACAGAAAACATAATTAAATGTATTATAATACTGCTATATTTAAAACATATTGGTAATGGAAAACTACAGATACATTAATGGAATAAAGAATACAAAATATACTTAAATGAGTATTATTAGTTGTACACATTTCAAATAGTGGGAGTTGGCTGAAAAAAAAAGATGGTAGAGCAATGGGTTAGCTACTTAGGGAAAAAAAATGAATACTAACTTGGCTCTTTACCTAAAAACAAATTAATGAATGAGGATGAAACAGCAAAAAATAACACTAGCAAAGTAAGCTGTGTCAATGCATAATGGCCTGATTAAGTGAAAGGGGTAGCTCCTGGACAAATTTCTAGAACTGTTCAATAATGAAAATAGTGGATCTGAAGGCTTATGAGATACATATCTCCAAAGTGATAGTGAGTTAGCTATCTAACTTCTTGATGAGGCCAGTATGAGATGAGCTCTTGTCTACCTTCCCCATGCTGTATCCATGCCTAAAACACAGACTAGCTTATAAGCAGGAGTTCAACATTTGCTGAATAAATAATTTTATGTGTGCAGGAAGGTGGGACTATAGGGTAGCCAAAGGTCATCGAGAGAGGCACACAGACTGCATGAGAGGGAAGCCTCACCGCACAGTGTACCGGGTCACATAACACATGAGAAAAGTTGCTTGTTCTTCTTTCCTGAGCCTTCATGCATGGGCTCAGTCATTGGAAAAGGCAGAGGACTTCACTAAATCTCACCAACAATCTCCCGGAGTGGCGGGAAAACAGTGTTGGGGAAGTTAATGCATCAGGGTTTGGAGCCAGCAACATAGCTTAATCCTTGCCTCTGACATATGAGCAGTAAAGTCCCCTGCTTTGTGAATCTGACTGGCAGAGAAGGGGTGAAACAGGAATCCTGTCGGCTAGGCAAAATGACAGAATCTTGCCTCCTCTTGTTGGGTGCAAGAATGAGTCCAGTTGGTGGCATTTCACAGGGTGGGAGAGTATCCCACTGAAAACCAGGGGACATCCAAGTCAGATAAACAAGCAAAGCTAAGAAACCATAAAGAGCACACAGTCTGAGAATCATTAAGGGAATTTTGGTAGGAAAAGAGAGAAATAGGTGAGAAAAAGAGAGGAGGAGAAAAGAGAGGAAGAAGGAGATACAAACAAAATAGACGAGCTGGAATAAGATGTAGATATAACTTTAACATACATTACTAGTATATCTATAAAAGACAACGAGCTTTGGAATAAACCCAACCAGGGCTTTGAAACTGTACCATCTGAGTGAAGTTAGATAACTTATTTATGTGAGCCTCAGTTTCCTTGTCTATAAATATAATGAGTTAACATCATTATGCTATTGAATGATGCAACATATAAAAAACATATGACAAATAACTTTTCTCGTGAACTATAATTGGCAATATTTGTTTAAGTATTAATAATGGATAGTCTTCTCTATAGACCTATTAACTAGGAAAGGATAGCTGGGCATGTCTGCCGAGTTTCAAGTGTCAGAGAGAGAATGGATTCTCGACATGGAGATGAAATTATTCAGGGGTTTTCTGATTGATTCAATGCATACTGCGTTACACAAGGGAGATAGAAAAGCTAGAGACCATGTCTGGAGTAGCTTCCCAAGGGCCTGTGGTGAAGAATGAGAGGAGCATTCCTCACAGAGCATGGTGGTTTTCTCTTGTTATGCTGGTTGGTTGGTGAGCTGTGAGCAGAAGAGGCTGGCAAGAGAACACCAGCTGGAGTCTTGCACTGCTGTGAGATGATGGAAGCCCCACACTGCTCTCTGCATCCTGGGACTCCTCTGTACATACTACTTGCTCACCATACTACCTCACCATCCATGCTCCAGTAAGCCCAGCCCCTGGCTTGTGCTGAAAAGCTGGTCTAGCTGTTGAGAAGCTATTCTCCTTCAGACCCAATATTAGGGCTCCTGTGGAATATTCACAAGTTGTTGAAGCCAGATTGACTAAAAGTTTCTCTTTTTTTCCTCCAACAACTAATTTTACCATTCCATGGTATAGTTTGAATTGAGAATTGGTAGTTTATCCATTATAGTGGCAAATAGCATGTTGTTTTATAATGATCTATTTCACTGCTATGACCATTAACAATGAACTATTTGAGGGCTGAGATGTTATCCTATTCAACTTAATTCCCCAGCAATTCTTGAAAAGAAAGGAGCTTTACCTCTTTTTCTCTTGTGTTTACCCCTTGTAACTTCATAGCTTCACATCTTCCTCACCTTCAATATGTATACAAAAGAAGGTGCCAAGTTCATTAATGAGCAGTCTTTACATTAAAAGATGATGCACTATACATTTGTTAAGCCACTTTCTCAATGTCTAGAATCAGTTGTCTATATCAAAACTAATTTTGCTTTGCAGACCTAGCCATCTTGAGTTTGAGGTATGAAACTGTGTGTGTGTGTGTGTGTGTGTGTGTGTGTGTGTGTGTGTGTGTGGAGGTTGGGGTGGGGGTGAAAGGTAACAGGAAGCTTTACTTAGGTCTTGATTCTACCTTGTTTTCTATAGTCCAATTTTACCAAAGGACACAGCATTGGGAATTAGTGGGAAGTAATATGGGTAGTGAGGGACAAGTGACAAATAATAGTCCATCTTAGAGTTTTTGGCCAGGGTCTCATGCTGAGAATTACATGAGAAACCAATTTGAGAGACTTTTCAAAGAAAAATATTTTTTCCAACTGAAAGAATATGAGGGAGAACATTTCCACAATATATTCTCTGACATAATAAACCTGTAAACTTCTTTACACGTTTTATTTTAGGATACAATTACTTAAATAGAAATTTTTGGTGGATGACACAGAAAAATTAGCCTTCATATAACTTCAGCTAACACTCACCAGCAGTATACAGCAAGAAAAGAAGAAGTAGATGAGATCCCACAGTAGAGCAGAAAGCCAGTATGTAAGGACATAGACCCCATTCACAAACTGGATGTGCTTTGCCTTCGAGATTCTCTCATTCACTGTCTGGAGGCTAAAGCCAGCAACTATAATAGCCATGCCAAAGGCCAAATCTGATATTATATTTATTCCATTTGCACCCCTATAAAGGATGAAATAAAAATTCAAATAAATGATGAAATAAAAGTAGGAAATGATTATTTCAGTAGCTATTTTCTAATGTAAATGTCCAAATTACAAGGGGCTATGTGAAGACTCAATTCCAGTAAAAGAAAAGTTATACATACTCTTCATGAAATTCATAAAGAGGGAGAGGCTGAGGCTTGTTGGAGACTTCAATGTTAGCACCGGGGCCAGAAAGTAACATAAAGAGGATGTTGTCTAACACTGCCAGAGATGTTGTAGCTGAATGATATGCCTCATTATTGAACAAAATAGTAAATATTGTTTTGTTTTTCTCAACCTCAATGGAAAAGGCAATAATGGAGAAGTAATTAAATTCTTTAATTTCCAATATGGAATCTGTTACATTACCTAGAAAAAAGAAAGAAATTGGTCAGTGGGTCAGCATGTAATAAATCACCTACTTCTTATATTGGAGAAGAAAGACCAATCATTTTCTTTCCTGTTCTCTTTTCAACTTCCCATAATGGTTATTTAAAATTTTTGTCTTTATCCTCAGTAATTCTACCCCATCATTACTCTCTACAATCTCACATTATACTTTACAACTTGGAAAAACAGTAGGTTTCCAAGATGGCTGCAGAGTAGGGGGCAGCTATACTCATATAATCCCAGCCCCAGATTTATAGATTATAGAGCAATCAAACTTGAATAATCGACTGAAGATGAACTGAACTGAAATAGTATAACCAAGGATTTACAGAAGAAGCCACATAGAGACTGGTAAGAAGGGTAGAGACATAGGAAGGGCTGGCCCTCTCACCTATATGCAGTGGCTGAGAAGCCAGAAAGATATCTACCCTGTTTCCCCCCAAAATAAGGCAGTGTCTTATATTAATTTTTGCTCCCAGGGGTTGTCTTATCTTTTCACACGCTAGGTCTTATTTTCAGAGGATATCCTATTTTCGGGGAAACACGGTATACTGCAAAACTCCCTCGCCCCCAAGGAGCATGGGACCTCAACCGTATGCCAGGATGCTCAAACCAGAGTAACAGAGATTGGAAGAGGACCCACATAGCATCTAGTAGTGAAAAATCAATGAGTATTCAATTCGCCTGGGAGTGAAGAAGTCTGCTGAAGGCCCAGACGCCATCTTCCAGGGATAAGCACTCCTATTATAGCACCAGCCTGGGGAGTGCACTGTCTGGTCCTCTCAGGGCTGGTGAGGACATTCGGTCATGCCCAGGTCCTGTGGAGGGGTCTACAGAATGTATCCAGCAGTGAACTTTGGGTGATTTTTTTCTGGGGAGGCTCTTTATGGAGACTCAGAAAGTGACTGAACTGTGTCTCCCCCATCTCTAGCACACAGCTGGCACTGTCCACCCTGCAACAGGTTGAATCACATGGCTGACCCCGTCCTGCTGAGTTCAGTTGCACAGAGGGTCAGAGGGCCATGCAGAGCTGGTACTCTCAAAGCATGTCTCCTGGAAGGGCTTTTGTCCAGAAATCAAATGGGCAGGTGCTGGGTTGTGTGACAACATTATGGAGGAGCCACTCTTATACTTCCTGCCATCTCAGCCCGCCCTATCCTGGGAAGGGGAAAAAGAGTCTGTCTCCCCTCTAACAGGCTCACAGGCACCACCCCCAATGGGAATATTCCCTTCCAATCCCCTGATGAGCTCATTTCCAGGGAGTGGGGGAGGGAGAGCTTCTAGGAGCTAGGATATTCATAGTGTGTGTCCCCAGAAGCTACTGTCTGGAACCAGGAAGAAAGTGCTAGGACCCCCCCTCCTTTAGGATGTATTGGCATCATCCCCAAATGAGACTCTTTTTATTTGTACTCCTGAGCCAGGTGCTTCTATCAGCCAACTTTGTTTGCTCCTGCAGAGGGGACAGCAGGTTGCATCTAACCTGAACCTGCAAAAAGTCCCTTGTGGGAAAGCTGAAATTGGAGACTCTGGCAGAAACTGAGTCGTTTATGTCTGGAATAAGGTCCACATTCCCCTAATTGAATGCCTGACCATATAACATCCAGATAAGGGACCCACTAGCCCCATCACCTGTACACAGTTTCTCTGTCCTACTGAGCTCACAACCTGTGAAGAGCATGTCGCTTACAGCTACCCTGGGGTCAGCCTACAGTCTTAATTCAAAAGGCTCTGGAGAAACACCAGGCAACCTCTGGGTGAGGGGGAGTAGCTGACAGGTGAACCACAGAGAGTATCAGATTTTTTACAGATATGCCCCCAGCTCTAAGCTGAAGGAAGTCAACTCTTGTACACAGAGGCCCAGTAGATGGAGCCACAGTGAACAGAGCTGTATCTCCAGATAGGTAGCCCAAGGCCAGGTACCCACAACATCTGACATCAACCTGTACCTGAACCCCATCCAAATGGACCCAAACCAACAAAACTAATGGTGGGCTTCAGACCACATCATATCCAACCCAATTTACCATACATGTTGCAAAACCAAAAGAAGATTGAGGCAGATGCCAGCAACACAGTTTTGAAGGGCAGTCCATGCACAACAATTCATGCACAGGGATTGAGTTTTATCCTTATAGTCAGCCAGCCTGAGGGGTTAACCTCACCCACAAAAGGGCCAAAAGCATTAACAGTTCAACTATAATAGAAGGGTGCACATAACACACAAAAAGATTCCTGGAACACAGAGCTCAAGTGATGTCAAAGATTGTGCCACTGAACCCAAAGAGATACCTTCTGCATAAAGCCATCCTAACAATTTTGAGAGTCATAGATCTACCTAATTCACAAACACAAAATGGGGAGACATAGAAATATGCTCCAAATTAAAGATCAAGAGTTAAAATTATTTAAAAATAATTACATAAAGTGAAAGTAACCAAATTACCAGATGAAAAGTTTAAAACAATGGTGATATAGGGGGAAAATGGTGGCAGAATAGGTGATAGCAATACACACCTTCTCCCTGCACCAAACTTGAGTTAAAGCTAGAACAATTAACCTGAATGAAGAACAGAAGGACACCTGAACAGGAATATTATATCCAATGTTGAAATAAAGAAGTTACTTAGTGACTAGTAAGAAGGGTAGAGCCACAGAAAGCATTGATCCCTGCACTCAGGAGCTATGGCTGTGAAGCCAGAGAAATACTGTGGATGCAAAAACTCTCCTTGGAAGAGAGTGGGTCTCAATCCCAGCTGGGACCTCCAACCCAGAAGACCACGGCCAGGAAGAAGAGCCTGCATAACATTTGACAGCAAAAATAAATGGGGACTTGGTCCACTGAAAAGAGGAAGCAGTCTGCTTGAATCCCTGTGAGCTCCTTCAGGGATAATGCCCAAGGACTTGCTCTTGGACAACTCACACAGAGCTCTGGTAGAGGGAAAGAGACTTGGGGCATATGAAAGTCATAAAGAGAATATCTGAGTAGCATAGTTCTGGAGAAGCTGGCTCTGGAGATCCCAGTCGTGAGCCAAATCCCACACTGCCCTTGGGTGCCATTTCCCAGGTTCCAGCACCATTTCTTGCAGCACCATTTGGAGAAAGTGCACTAACCCTGTCATCCAAATACTGGTTACACCACCCTGCCAAGCTCAATTCTCACATAGAGAACTGTTGTCTGTATCCAAAGGGGATCTTAGGTGCATCCTTTTTCTGAAGAAACGATGGGCAGTCTCGGACAAGCATTAAACCAAGTGACTTTGGAATGTTGGGCAGCGTTGGACCTGGAGGGAGGCCCCTGCTTCCAAGCCTCCCTTCAGGATCTCTGCGGGGCACCACGGAGCTGGATGGTGAGAGGACAGCTCTGTCCTCCAGGGATGGTTAAGGAGGGCCTGCACCACCCCCAACAAAGGCCTGTCTGTATTTGACTTCCCAAGTCTGCTGGTGCTGCTGGCCAAGTGCAGTCCCACAGGGGGAAGGAAGTGCACATCAAAACTGGGACATCCGGAGTCACCATATGAAGAACATTATATCTGACATCAAGATACACTGGAGGGGCTCAGCCTGTGTGGGTTGGTGGTTGAGCACTGACCTATGTATGTATGTCATGGTTTGATTCCTGGTCAGGGCACATGCCTGGTTTCGGACTCGATCCCCAGTGTGGAACATGCAGTAGGCAGCCAATCAATGATTCTCACCATTGATGTTTCTATCTCTCTTTCCCTCTCCCTTCTTCTCCAAAATCAATAAAAATATATTTAAAAATAATACGCTGGTGGGGAGAACCAAGATTGTGGTGTAGTTAAATGTCTGTACTCACCATCTCTCACAAAAACATTGAAATTACAAATAAAATAAGAACAACCATCATTCAGAACTGCCTAAAAGCCAGCTGAATGTAAACCTTACAACTAGAGAAGTAAAGAAGAAAGCATATTGAGACTGGTAGGAGGGGTGAAGGCACTGAATGGGCTGGTCTGACTCCCATGCATGCCATTTTTTAAGAAAAATTTTGAAGGCAGATTGTCACTGAGGAGGCCACCCATGAGAAGCAAGAGGTCCCAGCCCCACACCAGACTCCCAGCCCAGGATTCCAGAGTTGGGAAAAGCTGTCCCTGTAACTAAAGGCTGTAAAAATCAGGCCAGATTGTGGCTGAGGGACAGGAAGACTGCTGGAATCCCAGGTGTTCTTAATTGGCTGGTGAACAAACTTACACAGTCCCGCTTTCTTTGAGCTCCAGCACCAGGAGATCCAGACACATATGGGAAGGAACTGGATTGTCTGGCATTGGAGCAGAAACTCAGGAGTGGCTTTCTTCAAGATGGGGGTGTTCACAGGGGTCATTGTTCCTATGCTGGGATCTCCTTTGTCCCTGGGCTGACTGGCAGCCATATGTGAGTCTCCATCAGCCTGAAGAACACTGTTTGCTCAGCCCAGGGGGTTCCCTGAGACCCTGCCCCATCCAATTTGCAGTCACACCCAAGCTTTTTGTGGCTGCTTTCCCATATTAATGGCTTGTCTTAACTTAGGCTTCAGACTTTGCTAAAATCTCTCAATTTACCATACACTGGTGGCAGTGTGCCAAAAACCTATCAATAAAAGACCCAAGACCCAACTAGCAAGTCTTGCTTCACACCTGGGCCTCACCTAGGTACCTCTAAGCCCAATAGAAATAGCAAGTAGCAGTTGTCTGCAGATACCGCTGTAGCTCCTGATAGGTGACCCTCGGCATTGGCTAACTTTGTACCTCGTTAGTACTACTCGTCCCTAGAGACAGTGCACCTGGTGGAAAGCTTTGGATTATAACTCTACACATCCACAAGTGACACACTCAAGAGGTAGACTCAATGAGCAACCAAAAGCTCCAGTGAAGCAAGTACTCCATAAAAGTGTTTCCTGCATAGCTGCTCACCCACTGTCCTCACAGCCAATTTGCCTGGAGGTCAATTCCTCTCAGTTACACCAATAGTGATCAAGTCTC